AAAAAAAAATGTACTTGGTACAGGGTCTCACCATGCAGCTTTTATTCCTGAGGCTAGATTGCTATTTATTTGACATTTTTCTTGTTGCATATAATTCCTTCCTTATGTGTAAAGAACAAAGATTCTAGGGATCTGAAAGAGTTGTTTAAGGACTGGCTATTTACAGTACATGGGCACAGAGGACATGTGTTAAGTTTCTTACTGTCCACTAGGTGGCACTAGGAAGGGGCCATGTTTGCAAGTTATCTTGACCTAGATTCCAACTTGTTTTTAAAGGAGCAGATAGGTTGACTCTGCTAAACTTTCTTGTCTATCCAGGACCCCAAGCCTTTCGGGAGAAAGTGTTTAGATAGAACTCTCTCTCTCCCAAAATATAGGCTAAGTGAACTAACTGAGGACAGAATCTGGGACCAAGAGATTTCTTTGTTTTGCCTTTTTGACACAGGGTCTCATTATGTAACTCCTGCTGGGCTTGAATTCACCATTTAGCCTAGGCTGACCTCAAACTCAGAGCTATCCTCCTGCCTTGGCCTCCCAAATGCTGGGATTACATGAGTGTGCTACCATGCCTAGGCCAGAATGACTAACTCAAATACATTTTTTTTTTTTAAAAAAAAACCTCCATCTTGGACCACCCAGATAGCTCAGTGAAATAACCACCTGCTTAGACAGACACAGGAACCCAGGTTTGATCCCCAGCTTGCCAGCCTCACCCCACGGGACTCGCTGAGTCTGGGTGTGGTGGCACATGCCTATAATCCCACCACCTGGGAAGCTGAAAATAGGAGGATCATTTCGAGTCCGATCTGTGTAATGAGACCTTGTAAACCCTATTTAAGTACTAAAAAAACAAACAACAAAAAAAAAACTGTCAGAATGCCTTTAAAAAAAATATATTTAGGACAAGGCCTACAGGGTCTCACTATACTGATCTGACTCTAGTGATCCTCCTGTTTTCAGCCTCCCAAATGCTGGGATTATAGGTGTGGGCCACCACACCCAGTCTCGATCACTGTGCCCCAGGGGCAGGGCCAGCACAGTGCACTGGGGATCGAACCTTAGCCCCTGCTCTCTGTGTAAGTAGGCGCTTTAGTCTGCTTAGCTAGCTGGCTGGCCTAGATTAGCTAACTCTTGGGGATCAAGCATCCTTTCTATTCTATCATGGAGATTAAAGATGAACTGAAGCAGAGACAGTAGAGATTATACTCCAAAATAGAATAGCTGGCTGTGTGTGAGTAATAGAGTTGGACAAGAGGAGAGACAGGCAAAGTTAAGGGAGCTCTTTCTTTTG